GTGCTGTGTGCGTGCGTGCGTGCGTGCGTGTGTAGTGTGTGTGTGGTGTGTGCGCGCGCGTGTGTACGCGCTAGACGGTTTGTGAATGCACAAGCGAGATGCCGAGTAATAATACATTACTGCTTTACCTACATCATTCATTACATGCACGTTTAATAAACGTAAAAAAACATTCAATTAGATCATGATGTTAATTTAGATCATGTCGTTATCAAATTTAAATCGTCTTATCATTTTGTTCCAGGAGGAAAGGATATACTAGCGTAGCATATAGTACGCGTTCGGCGTGCGATGCTTAATTGTGGTTTGATGAATGGTTGTGTAGTGTGCGTGGTGCGTGCGTGCTGCGCTGCGTGCGTGCTGTCCGCGTGCTTGAGCGTGAGAAAGAAGAGAGATGCCTGGTTAACTCAGAGCTAAGGTGGGCAATCGTAGGGAGATGCTGCGAGCCAAAGCGAATTTTGTAGGTCGGATTTTTCTAGCGCAGTATCAGGCTGGGCAGACCCACTCCAATAGACAGATATATATTTATATCTCTTTTTATAAAAAGAGAAAACAAACGGTCGTGGTAACTAGCTTGTAGTTAATTGGAGTAGGGAGGCGTTCAACTCTTTGACCGCGCCATGTCGAGCCACCGTTGTGTATCGGGTCAGCAGTCTATCTAGATGGCTAGGTTTCTACACGGCCTAGCTGTCTACGTGTATTTGTCACGTAGCTGTCACTGCATTTATGGTTGTCGGGCGAGTTTAACCTATGATTTCCATGCTCTAATTAGGGTTCCAATCGTAGCCTGGCGTCAGATTGCGTAGGGATGCATTCATTTTAAAAGTATGTAAGTTTGTGTTCTCGTTGCTATGATCGCGCACGGAACAAACAGCGCAAATAACAAGTTTATTTTGTAGCGTGAGGCCGCGACCGACGGCACAGCTAACATTAGCGACCAAACTATAAGTAAAGATGAAAGCGCACGGGGTTTTACGGTTCGGATAAGAAATCGATTTGCCGGTTTGCGCAGAATGGAGAGTGGTCAGGTGCATCGATCATACGTATCAACTCAATGTTTACACAATCAGCCATGTCAGGTGCATTGATGATACGATGAACCCCGTTGACCTGTGACCCCCTGATAGGTGCCATGTGTGTTATAGAATGTTTGTGACGTCATGAATAGGCAGCCGCGGATGACATTTGTCTATATGTACAAGGAAATCTGTATTCCTCTTTGGTTTTAATCTACGGAATATAGTTATTGTTGCCTAAGTCGCCCTTGCGTTTATCGTGACAATAAATATATTATATCGTTATCCGCTTGTGGGGTGGTTGATCAGGCCGTGATCGTCCCACAGCGGTGACACGTCCGGTCTTGTACCTCCACTGCCAGACACGTGTCATTCTGGCCAACGACGACAATGACAAAATCAGAAACACGGAATAATGCAGCACTTGGCTAAATAATTGTTTTACTAGACACACTAGCCAATTACAATAGTATTTATAATTAATCAAGAAAATACGAAAGTCAATCTAAGAATATATCCACGTCAGTATTACTGTCTGGCAACTTTCATATATATCTCCCGTTACCAACTCATCGCCAACGTGACCTTGCACAGGGGACACGCGAATTGTGCCACGTGCTCACGTCTAAAGGAAGCTATCCTAATCTTCCACGCATGTTTAGGCTGAAGCTGCAAGCCTCCTCGTCAGCAATGATGACCTCTAGACGTGTCAAGGTTCGTGTCAAGCTTCGGTGCGCACACAGTTGTATGATGTCACGGACGTGAAGTCGTTTGTATAAGGTGTGCAGACGATACACGACAGAACCCCAAATCGTAGCAATACAGCCAGTAATACAGTCTTTTCATTTATAAAAATCATCGTTGCAATAGTATAAAAAGCTGTTAAAATACTGAAATTCTTAAGTAATACACAACAATATAATACTAAAACGATACGAAAATAATACAATACAATACAGGCATTTTTACTACGCATATACAATACAACTGACGAGAGAAATAACTCCATGACGACAAAAGGTTACCGATGATGGACACGTGTGACAGTGATCAATACCGTATTGGTACTAACCCCAGTCATTCTGCTCTCATAATTGGTTCATATTATGATCAGATCTAACTGAGTATCACAGGATTGATAATAACAACATGTAAAGTATAGGTTCCGCATTCCACCGTATTTGCCTGTTAACTTTAACAGGAGAAATCACGAGCGATATTTTGTTTCGCGAGGCGCGTTTTCTCTTCGGTATAATACTTTTTCGTATTTCTATGTATATCTATATATGTGTGTGCGCGTGCGTGCTGTGCGTGTGTGCGTGTGAGCGTGCGTGCGTGCGTACCTGCCGTGCCTGCGTGCGTTGCGTGCGTGCCGTGCATGCGTACGTGCGTGCGTAGTGTGGTGTGTGTGGTGTGTGTCGTGTGTGTGTGTGTGTGTGTGTGTGTGTGTGTGGGTGTGTGTGTGCGGTGTGTGTGGTGTGTGTGTGTGTGTGTGGTCGTGCGTGCTTGCGTGCGTGCGTGCGTGCGCTGGTGCCGTGCGTGCGTGCGTGCGTGCGTGCGTGCGTGGCGTGCGTGCTGTGGTGTCTGCGGCTGGTGCGGCGTGTGTGTGTGTGTGTATGTGTGTATGTGTGTATGTGTGTGTGTGTGTGTGTGTGTGTGTGTGTGTATGTGTGTATGTGTGTATGTGTATGTTGTATTGTGTATTTGTGAATCATGCTTCTACACGTCTATCAGTGTCGGGTCGCAATGGTACAGCACAAAGTATGCAGCCGTGCTGGCTGGTTTTATTTGTTAATAGTCTGATATAAACGTTTAAGAGCGAAGCCCGTGCGTGCTTGCCAGATCCTCTCTT